ACACACACACACACACACACACACACACACACACGTATATGTACGTGTGTGTGTGTGTGTGTATGTGTGTGAGAGAGAGACTGTATGGTTTTTTGTGTGGTGCTGGAACTCAGGGCCTTGTGCATGCAAGGCAAGCACTCTACCAACTGAGCTATATCCCCAGCCCCTCCAAAATATATTTTAAAATTACATTTCTATTAGCTGAATTCTGACTTATAGATTGGAAAATCACTTCATTAAAATCATTTAACAGATCACAAAGTTTACATGAACTAACAAAGTTAATGGAAAACAAACTATATTCCTTTGTTCACTGTGTTCAGTAAAATAATCAGTGGATACCAAAAGATTTAAACATGAATGACTGCTATCTTATAGATATACAAAGAGTATGTCTAGACTATTTCCCACAAAATATTCAATGTAAAAGGGCAATGATAGTAATGATTTTTATTGTATATTAACTGGAAATTTAAAAGAGAATCTCCTAGCTTTAAAAAAATATATATTTAGTTGTAGATGGACACAATACCTTTAATCCATTTATTTATTTTTATGTGGTACTGAGGATTGAACCCAGTGCCCCACACTTGCCAGGCAAGCACTCTACCACCCAGCCACAGCCCCGCCAAAATCCTAGCTTATTCTTTTTTTTTTTTTAAATTAAGTCATAAAGAAGAGAATTTGGGATAATGTATATGGGAACACTCTGAAAAATGTAAAAGGCACAATACAAACTCAAGAGGAATATTGAACAATAAGTCTTAGGCATGCAGCATGATAAGATCAATGAAAAAATAAAAATATCATATTAAGGTAAAAAATGCATAGATTTTATACAGGAAGGTCTATTCAAAGATACCCATAAAGTTTTTTTTTTTTTTTGGTTGGTTGGGTATCAGGGATTGAATTTAGAGACACTCAACTACTGAGCCACATCCCGAGTCCTATTTTGTATTTTATTTAGAGACAGGGTCTCACTGAGTTGCTTGGTGCCTCACTTTTGCAGAGGCTGGCTTTGAACTCAAAATCTTCCTGCCTCAGCCTCCCAAACCACTGGGATTATAGGCATGCACCCCCACGCCAGCAAAGATATCCATAAAGTTTTAAACTGCTTCTGTTTTAAATAAATTATCTCATACATTATAAATAACATAAAATCACATCATAGAAAGCATACTTACAGAGCAATAAAGAAATTTATCCTGGTATGCTCATTTATAGTAAATTTAGCTCTCTTGAAATAAACAAAGGTCATAGCCAAAAGATACTATAAGGAAAAAAGTTAGAAATTAACATTTGCTTTCATAAATTGTCCAAATAGTTATATTTAAAATTTTTTATAAACAAGTTAAAAAGTATTATCTTTATTATAGTATCAATTTGAGTACTTTCCTCGTTTCCTGTAATCAATCCATGTCAATAGTGATAGTTATTGATCATTTATTAACTAGATAAGACTATTTTGTAAATAATTTTTTGAATTAAAACCTCATTTTTCCAACTTAAAATTCAAACCCATAGATAAGTTGAAGTAATATTAAAATTACTATACATCGTTCTTATAGACTCACAAATTATTATTTTGCAGCATTTGCTTTATTGTGTGTGTGTATGTGTGTGTGCGTACACACACACAATACACTTTTCTTCTAAACTTTTATTTGTAGACATCCATGATCACCTCCCTGCCTTTTTTTCTTGGTGCTGGTGATTATGTATGCTAAATATATGGCATCGGGCTGAAGATGTGGCTCAAGCAGTAGCACGCTCGCCTGGCATGCGTGCAGCCCGGGTTGGATCCTCAGCACCACATACCAACAAAGATGTTGTGTCCACCAAGAACTAAAAAATAAATATTAAAAATTCTCTCTCTCTCCCTTCTCTCACTCTCTCTTTAAAAACAAAAAATAAAAAATAAAAAAAATAAATATATGGCATCATGTATGCTAAATATATGCTCTACCACTGAGCCCTGATACTTAATTTTTCAAGTAACTTTCAGGAGTTTTCTAAATAACTCAAGAAATTAGGATAAGATGACTCCACTCCCACGAGGAAAACATTTTAAATGTATTATTAGAAAGCTACATGGCTAACCTGTTATTAGAACACAACAGGATCTTACTATTCAAATTACAAACAAGTTATAATTGTAATATTTTCTTTCTCATAAAATACCCATTCATCTTATAGTCACAGTATTGGGCACCAAGGTGATTCCAAGTTTTCATGTGACTTCTGGTAAAGGATTATTAAAGTAGTTTTGATACAGTTCTCTTTTCAACTACTGCCCCCTGCTGTCCACAACTTTAATGCATAAAAAAAGCCATAAAGTTTAAAACGATTCCACAGAAACTGGATATTTGATATTAAAACATTACTGTAAATTTTAAAGTGTTAGTGTCATTGTGATTATATTTTAAAATATTTATGGATTAAAGGCTAGGATATCTGTAATTTGCCTGAAGATAATCCAGTCTCAAGGGCAGGGATTTAGAAGAAACAAAAATGGCCATGAATTCATGACTGTGGTAGCCAGATGAGAGGTACCCAGTGGGCCTTCATACCATATGATTTACTTTAAGTTGTATATATTTGGAATTTTCAAAAACGAAGTTTCCAAAATTTAAAATAAACACTTTTCATTTTATCTTTGCCATCTTAAGTGGGAAGTAAAAACATTCACTTAAATACTTAGTAGTACTTAATCGTAAGCTAAATTTCCAATCATTCCTTTTGTTTACACATTTAAAGTGTGATGTGAAGTTATGCTGAACTGTCAACATGACTGCCTAGTCTAAAATGGCACTTACAAAGCTGAAATTGTAACTATTTAGCTAACTCAAAAAGCATAGAAACAGTTCTCTTTTGTTTATTAAAAGAGCATAAAAATGTGGCATATATACACAATGGAATATTATTCAGCAATAAAAGAAAATAAAATCATGGCATTTACAGGTAAATGGATGGAGTTAGAGAAGATAATGCTAAGTGAAGTTAGCCAATCACAAAAAAAAATGCAGAATGTTTTCTTTGATATAAGAAAGCTGATTCATAGAGGGATAGGGAGGGGGAGCACAGGAGGAATAGATGAACTCTAGATAGGGCAGAGGGGTGGGAGGGGAAGGAAGTGGGCATGTGGTAATTAATGATGGTTGAATGTGATGATTATTATTATCCAAAGTACACGTAGTTTGTGTGAATATATTATGTATACAGAGATATGAAAAATTGAGTTCTATATATAAGAACTATATATATTTTATATATATTTACTTATATATAAAACAGTGGAATACATTACAAGTAAAAAAGAAAAAAGCATAAAAACAGCATTGTTCTGAGAACGTAAGTTAGATATTATGTAAACTTGAATAGCCCTAAATAAAGAACACGATAAACTAATTTTACCCTACAAAATCATTGAGATTTGGTGTGGGGCAGCAGGTGCAGGGGCACTTTACCACTGACCACATTCTCAGGCTTTTTTATTAATTTTGAGACAGGATCTTGCTGATGTTTGTCTAGAATTTATAATCCTCCTGCCTCAGCCTCTGGAATCAACTGAGATTATACCTATTTGTTTTATCTTTTTTTTTCAATTAGAGCTTTCTTTTTTAAAAAAACTTTTTTTATTTTTCTTTATATGTGGTGCTGATATTGACATGCTACATAAGTGCTCTACCACTGAGCCACAATTCCAGCCCTTGTTTTATCTTAATGATAAAATATTCAAATATTCAAATGTTTAAGAAACTGCTACAAAGGAGTGAACCTCAAAATATTTTCCCTGCAGCCTGATAAAAGGTAATAATTCTAATAAAAGTGTATCAAGTCTATATTGATTCTTGTTTTCAATAAAAGATATAAACTTAGATATAAACTTCATTTAAATCTAATCAATAATATTCACTGAAATCTATGTAGTATATTAATTCCAAAAATTAAGGTATAAGGATTTTGTGTTGAAGAAACAATGCAGTCTGTTTTCCTATTCTTAGTAAAATAAGCTCTTACAGTGTTTCATTAAAGTTCTGATGATCTAGTAACATAATAAATGCTAATGATTTATATTGTTACCAAATTTACCTTGTCTGCAATTTTACAGCAGCAGTCCATCCACAAGAAATCTTGAATTAAATCATCATCTACAACAAAACACAGCTATGACTTACCTTTTAATAATAAAATATCTCCTTTTGAAGACTTACTTTCTATATCAGGATATTATAAATGATGCTTAGAAATCCAACAAAAATGGCTAGACCAGTGTTGTCTAAGGTATAATTGTCAGTAGTTAGCATATTTGCTATAGCAAGTACCAAACAAAAAGCTACTGCTTTATCTTTTATCTTCCCATCTGATTTGCCTCCCTTCCCTATGTATGAAGCTCAGCTTTAAGGGAGAATGGTGTTTTGTTTATTGACTATCTAATAGCATATTATGTAATTCTAGCTCATCATTTCTTTCCAAAATCAAACTTTTTTTGGGGGGGGGGTACTGGGGATTGAACTGAAGGGCACTCAACCACTGAGCCACATCCCCAGCCCTATTTTGTATTTTATTTAGAGTCAGGGGTTCTCACTGAGTGGCTTAGTGCCTTGCCATTGTTGAGGCTGGCTTTGAACTCAAGATCCTCTTGTTTCAGCCTCCAGAGCCACTGGGATTACAGGCATGCACCACTGTGCCCGGTTCCAAAGTACAGTTGGAGATGAAATCTGATAAGATAATTCAGTTTTAAAGAAATGATTTAATGAATACTGTTTTATTGGTTTTTTGTTTGGTAATTGGGATTGAGCCCAGGGGCGCTTAAGTTGCTTAGGGCCTTGCTAAATTGTTGAGGCTGGCTTTAGACTTATGATCCTCAGCCTCTCAAACTGCTGGGATTATAAGTGTTATACCCAGGATAAATACTTTCCAGGGATTTTAGTGTTGGATTTTCTCTTTTATTTATCTGTTTCACATATCTATTATTCAAATACATATGAAAATATTTATACAAAAAGAGGTTCAAAATTTACTATTCATTATTAATATTTAATTTGGGAAAACTAATAAATACTAAAGGTGAAAATACATAATCTCAAAATATATTGGTAGTTTTTAGGATATAATCTAGGAAAATCTGCTTTTTTGCATTCCCCTACCCTTTCCTTTTATTTTTATTTAATTTGTGGTATGGGGGATTGAACACAGGGACACTCTTCCACTGAGATACAGTCCAGCCTTTTTTATTTTTATATTGATAGGGTCTAAGTTGCCGAGACTAGCCTTGAATTTGTCATCTCCTGCCTTAGCTTTCCAACTAGCTGAGATTACAAGGCATGTAGCATTGGGCCCAGCTCATTCTCCCACCCCACATTTTATGTAACAAAGCATAATTCCTTTATAGTCATTTTACATGCTACAAATATCAATGTAATAAAATTTTGGAAAGTTCTAAGAATAACTGCTGATTTTCCTGAGAATTAACTTTTGGCTTTTGAGGGGGTAGTACTATGGATGGAACCCAGGGGTACTTTAACCCTGAGCTACATCCTGGCCCTTTTAAAATTTGAGACAGTGTCTTGCTAAATTGCAGAGACTGGCCTCGAACTTGCAATCCTCTTGCCTTACTCAGCCTCCTGAGTTTGCTGAGATTACAAGTATATGCCACCATATAAGCTTCCATTTTTATTTCTTGTTACCAAAGCTAACAGTAGGTATTTTCTCATGTATCTGATGACCAGTTGTCGGTACTTAAGAAGTTTATAAGAAATAATTTTATCCTATACAATTTAAAAAAATTTTTGTGGTATTGGAGATCAAACCCAGGGCCTCACATGTGTTAAGCAAGCACCACCACTGAGCTACATTCCCCAATTTTTGTCACTGTCACACATATACACACATACACATACACATACACACACACACACACACACACACATACACACACACACACACACTTTTCTAGTTGTCAATGGACCTTTATGTTTTTATTTATATGCAGTGCTGACACTCAAACCTAGTGTCTCATACATGCTGGGCAAATGCTCTACCACTGAGCTATGACCCCAGCCTATGTCCTATCCATAATAAGGAGAAAGGGAAACTTGTGTTAACATTCTAATTCCTGATAAGGGAGCATTTTTTTTATATCTTCTTCTACTTTTATTCCTTATATATATTTCCTTTTCCTTCTTCTTTTTAAAGATCTCACTTTTTTCACTGGTTTCTTTATATCTTAACCAGCTTGCCTTAATGCAACTGGCTTTCCTCTATAAACAAGGAGAACTGTTACCTATGTCCACCAAATTATGGTATCAACTGACTTTATTCATTCCCAAAGGTACTTCCCAGAACCCATGTAGCCTACCCCATTTTCTAATCTGTCTACCTTACTTACCATATCTCCAAATAAAGATTCCTGTTCTTTCTTGGCTAGTAGAAGTACTATAAAGAAGATTCTTTTTGCCTATTACAGAATTTATCAGCATAGGAGCATTGTCTCATGATTTGAACAAATTCAAACTCAATTTTATTATGTGAACATGATAAAACATTTGTTAATTTTTTATAATATTCCCAAGATGTAATACTTGTAATACTGAACTTTTCTAGAGAAACCAACATCCATTTGCTTGGTTTTAGCTGTGAAAGTCCTGGGAAACCCTTAAGCCTGGGTTGGTAGCTCACTTGAGTCTTCATGTATTATTTTACTTTATGTCAAATAAAACTCATGCTATGATCCGAAAGTGCTCATAATCTACATTTGATACACTTGGATTTAAGTAGTCTAGAAGCTAGATGAGTCTGAATTAATTTTTGGTACTGAGAACTGAGCTCCATCCCCAGGATCTCACTAAATTGCAGAGACTGGTCTTGAACTTTTGATCCTCCTGATTCAGCCTCCTGAGTTACTGGAATTACATGTGTACTGCTCATTTTAGTTGAATCTGAATTTTTAATCCATTAGCAAGAAAAGCAATCAAAACTCCAACATTTAAAAAAGACTAGTAAAAACAAATGCAAACCTGGTTGGAGATGGAACATTTGACACAGAAAATAATATTATTCTCTTAGGTCTCTATGAAAATGATAAAATATATGTTTATAATTTAACATATTTTATAATTACACTATTAGACATTTTAAACCTACCAAATAATTTAAAGAAAGCAGTCATTTCCTGACGCTGTATAACCAGACAAGGTCCTTTAGGGCGTTTAGATTTGTTATTATATGCATTTTTTTCAGATGCTTGCCAACTATCTTTAAAAATAGGACGCTTCAGATTAATGGTTTTTTTAGGCTGATGTGATCTATTCGGGCCTGATTTTACGTGAACAGTGACAGTAGGTGGTGTCTCACAACACATCTGATTGTGCCTCATTTTGGTTCCCCAAGATTCCTGTAAAAATAAAACATTAATTATTTATTCACATTCATTCATTTCTATATAAAAACTAATTGAGTAATCTACCGGAAGCAGTCATCTGAACTGTTACTGAACTTGCTATTAAAAATATTATTTGTGATAGTGACTCACATTAGAAATTGCTTTTAGAATTCAGTGCCAGGAAAAGCTATGCTTCTTTTGGGTAGCTAATATACTTCCTCTTCCGAAATAATCAGATACTGTATACCACTTTGCTTCGACTATTCTGGAATTAGAACTAAATTTGAAAGTATAAAAACCATGCTGAGTTCATTATCTATTTGTGGTGTTCTTTCTTCCTGATTTTTTTTTTAATTCTGCTTGAACTGGCATAATTTTATTACATGGTTGTTAAACACCACCTCAAATTATTTTATAGAATAAGGCAAACTATCACCAATTATAGAACTTAACTGGTTCCATAATTCTCTTTCCTTTTTTATGTTTCCCTCCTCTCCCCCTATTCTTTTTCTTAGATCCTGAGGTCCAACTAAATTGGAGGTAATTATGGAGTTGGGGTGGGGGTACTATAAACTCCATAGAAAGATAAATAGGTTGATAAATTGGGACTTGAAACCTGTCTAACAACTAGAACTTAATTACTGATGTCAAGTGTTGTACTGAAAAGCAACCCTTTCCATAAAAATATCGGTAAATTCCTTTTTTTGTTACAGTTGCTTATTCAATAGCATTTATTGGTATTTATTGACTAGTTGAAAATAATTCTAGCAAAGAAATGTATAACAATTTCATAAATTGTTATATTTTTAAACATTTTGAGTATATGATCATCCTATTGGAATGGCTGATTGTAAATGTATATGAATATACAGTGTTATGATCTAATAAAATCTGAAACAAAGTTAATCCATCAGTATTTAACCATATACATGAACATTACTTTGGTGGTGATTTCTAAACATAGATACTAGTTAGTATTACTTCTGTGGTCAGTGTGTTTTTAGGGTACTTGGGAAATGGAGGTAGGAATGGGCAAAGCAGTATACTACTCTAAGATCCTAATGAGAACCTCTGAATCCATGACTCACAGTGACCCAGGCAGCCATGCCTCCCTTGGTGTTCAAGGATTTAGGTTCAGATTCTCCTTCCTGACCCTCAGAAATTTCCCTGCTGAAGGAAGGAATGGAAAATAAGATTGGATGTAGTGAGGGTGGAGCAGCACTGTCCAATATAATGAGAGCCACATATATAATTTTACACTATTTTAGAACCACATTTAAAAAGAAAAGACAAACCAATATATCCAAAATATCATTTTTAACAGGTAATAAATGTAAAAATTAAGATATTTTACATTCTAAATCTTTGAAATCTAGTGTGTTATTTATACTTATTTACAATTATGGTGCTTTTTTTTAACACTTTACATGAAATGTAAATTAACAGTTCACATGAAATATAAGTCCTATAAAAAATAGTGTATAAGGGAAACTATTTTATACTCCTTCACTTTTTCAATTTAAAGTAAAAAATTCTTCAGCTGCACCAGCCACTGAATAAAGACATATGTGGATAGTGGCTACTGTATTAGATGCCACATTACAAAGAACTTGGAGGAAGAAATTATCCTTAATTGGTTCTCTCCTATTTTGATTCCCTCTCCTCCCCCATCCTTTTTCCTAGATCTTATCTTAAGGTCCAGCCAAATTAAAAGTAATAATGAAATTGGAGTAGGGGTGCCATAAACTCCATACAAAGATGAATAAGTGATAACATGAGCCTTGAAATGTGTGTAAGAACTTTCTGCTCTTTCCTACCCACTTCATCTGGGAGACAGCTGGAGGCCTCATCTGCATCTTTTCTGAGTAAGAGCAGCCTTATATCTAGATGGAAAAAACTAGTAGTCAGGCTTCTCAAATTGGGTTGGGTGGTGTGGGCTAGGCTCAGAGGTGGGATGTACCAGAATACTGAATAGCTGTAGCACATCTTTCAGGATATGAGTTTTATTCAATGGTAAATAGTTGTAAGTAGTTTTCATATAAAAACAACCATGGATAAATCATGAAATACAATGCAATTTTTCTATCACTCAAAAAGGCAAAATATCATGCTTACAGTAGGCCTCTTTACATTAGTCCATTAAACCTTTGGTTATGTATTGGATTGGGATATTTAATATAAAATTTGAGAAAAACAAAAGAAAGCAAATATCTGAAATTCCCAAATAGAAATACACAGATGTTAATAAGCAAACTTTGATAGGAAAGTTGTGGAAAAAGGGCTTAAGGCAAGGAGATATCAGTGTTATAGTCTCAATCAAATTCACCTCAATTGTGCTTTTTGTTTAGGTATATCAAGAGAAGAAGAGTTCTGCTTGCAAGTAAGAGGAAAAGAATGAAAGGCAAATCTAAATATGGGCCATTTTTTGAGGGCAAGAGATAGGCAAAGAGGGGGGAATAGAAGAAACTATTGCTCCTATAGTAAAATTCTTTAATAAATTTTTACATGGGCTATACAAACATTTAAAAAAATCTTACCAAGGTGCTGGAGAGTGGCCAAGAGGTAAAGCCCTTTGGCATGGTGAAAGGTATGCACAAATATGCACAAGGTCTTGGGTTCAATCCCCATCATGACAGAAAAGCAAAAATAAAATTCTTATTTGAATAAAATATCTGTGATTTAAAAGTATATTTTGTAAATATATCTCATCAATTCTATGGGTATCTGAAATAATTCTTCTCTGGCACAATGTGCACAGAATCATACAAGAGAAGCAGAGTAGTTTGGAGATTCATTTGTCTATATGATCTAACAGCAAATCCACTGGCAACTCAAGTAAGGGCAGTCAGGTAAGTTTCAGCTGCCTTATAATTGCAATCACACACTGAGCACTTGGTAATGTGACAGATATAATCTCATTTAATTCTCAAAACATCTCAGTAAGTTGGGTATTTTACCTTATTTTCTAGATGAAAAATTTGAGGCTTAGAGAAGTTAGGATATTTGCCCATAAACCATGTAGTGATAAAAGTAGAACTTGGATCCAAGACTATTTCACTCCAAATCTCATATTTTTTTAACTACTAAATAACTATTTTAAACATTAAATGAAATCATTGTCAAATACTTGACACAGTTAGCATTCCAATGTTACTTATTATCACCTTTCGAGGAAAACATAAACCTAGTGATAATGCAAACAATATACAAATTTAGTTCTAGCATTTGCAGTCTAACTGCACACAATAAATTGTGGCAGTGGCTTCTTGTCTTTGGGGTGTATGTTGCCCATGCTAGTCTCAAACCCCTCAAATAATTCTCCCATTTCAGCCTCTGAATTAGCTTGGATTATAAGCATATGCCACTATACCTGGCTTCATTTAATGTTTGAGTTAAGCCACTACTATGAGGAAGAATCACTTCTGGGGGGTGGGGGTTGGGGTAGAGATTGAACCAAGGGCCTTGTATATAATAATCTTTTTGATAAAATAACTTAAGAATCTTTATTGAAATGACTACAGCATTTCTATTCATAACCAGCATTATCTAATTATTGAAAAATACAGCAAATACAGGAAAAATATTCTGGCAAATTGCTGGAAGTTTTGCTACAGTTATTATATCTCCACAATTTTGATGATTTAAATTTTTCAATTTTTAATTTTCTAATGGTTATAAAGGCTTTTGACCTCATCCAACTGTTAGGTGCTAAGGCATTATTTTCAAATATTTATTTTTTTTAGTTAGGTGGACACAATATTTTATTTTTCATGTGGTGCTGAGGATGGAACCCAGTGCCCTCACGCATGCTAGGTGGGTGCTCTACATGTGAACCACAATTCCAGTAAGTGCTAAGGCATTTTAAAAATAATTAATTGGCACAGCTCCTTTGATGAATGCAAATCTGATTAGAAATTGTATTACATATAATACACTTCCATGTAACTTTAATTCTATTCAGCTTCCAAGTTAAAGCTGAATAGAATTAAAGTTAGAAAATGAGGCAGGAAGCATGAACATGCAATGATTAGAAGAAAATGAACAACAGCTAGAACAGTATTCAAATGAGTGGGTTTTTTGTTTTGTTTAAAGGGACTGGTTCAGAATTTAAGACTTGCTTACGTCTCATTAGCTATGTGACCTTAGGTTATTTAACTTCTGGAAGCCTCGGTTTGCTCACTCATGATACTGAAATAAAAGCACTTAGGTTTACTCAGAATCCAGTAGATAGTAAGTACTCAGTAAAAATGACACATTAGGTATTATCAATAATACTATATTTTGTAGAGTCTGAGAAAATGAACCACATGGGTAATACCTAGCACAGTGCTGAATGCTTAGCAAAAACTGTAGCAGCATCATTTTTGTATCTTCTTTACCAGGAAGGGTGTCTTTCAAGGAAAGAAGGGTTTGAATATGAGTTTGAGCCAAGTTTCACTTCAAGTACTAAATATTTAGTACTGAATATTTAAATTCTTACTGGTAACGGAATTCGCTGGTATTTGGAAATATGCTAGTTATGGAATTCGTAACTACACGTACATATTCTCAATTTCATCACAGCATATCTGTCTCTAAAGAATGTACTTTACCCTCAGTATTTTGTTTTTTGGGGATGGAGGCACTGGGGGTTGGACCCGGGGCGCTCTACCCCTGAGCCACATCCCCAGCCCTTTTTTAGACAGGGTCTCGCCAAGTTGCCCAGGCTGGCCCTGAACTTGCGACCCTCCTGCCTCTGCCTCCCGGGTCCCGGGGATCTCAAGCGTGCGCCTCTATTCCCGGCTACGTCACAGGCCTTTCTAAGGACTAGAAGCCAGGTGGTCCCCAGTCGTACTGGAGTCTTGTAAGAGGGCAGGCGCCTCACTGGAGGTACAGGCTAAGGCACAGCACGGCGCCACCACGGGCCGGTGCTCTGGACTCTGGTGCGGACGCCGGGGCGGGGGTGCGTGTCCTGGGACCCGCGG